AACTCTTTCTCTCACTGAGAGCACATATATTTCTTATCAATTTCGCCATTGTGAAATAGAATAAAACACATTTAACTACATAGGAAAAGATGAGCAATACTTTAAACATCTTCAAAACGAAACCAAACATTATTTTCCGACAGGACTTAATCTACGTGATTTGACGTGCACTATTGCGATACAAGTAAGTGTTGTTGCTTTAAGGAACAATCAGTTTTTTCATAATCTCTCTGTGAAAGATCAACAATGAAAAACTAAATTGTAGAAAGAGAACGGTAGGCATGTTGCTTCGCATTTGCAACGGATTCTAAAATCGGCTTTAAACTGTAGTCCTTTTTTTCGACTTGAAACTGGTGCCAGATTTGACAATTGAAGTAAAATGTAAGATTTATGTCATTCATAATAAAAATATGAACATATTTAGGTAGAGTTTTGCCTTCCGTACTCCCGGTTGATGTAAACCTTACTTTTTAATTATGGCGTAGACCAGATAACGCTAGAAAACGAAATAGCTTGCAACTGAAGCCCGCTCTAATACAAGCAACTTCCAAGGTTAGGCAAAGTGTTTGATAAAACGGCTTATATACTGACGAAGATCCAATATTCTATGGAAAGCTTACATTTTTCCCCGTAGACTGGTGCATATCCCAAAGAAATTGGTACAGAAATAAAATATTTACGGCTGTTTTCTTTCCCGAATCGAGCAACATTTGTCTTGGAAATGATGCCGAAAATGACGTCAATGTCACGTGGTATTGCCACACTGGCAATGGTATATCTGTTACTTATCTGATTCACATGAATCGTAAAATAAAATATTTCACCATTTTACTTCTAGTTGTCATACCTTTGTGAAACAACTGGTCATGAAGAATTATTTGATTCATGCCGTAGAAAAAAACATCTGCTAGGTAAAGACATTTTAAGAATATGGGAAAACAACTTTAAGTCACAAGGTTTGCCGCCATTTTGTGTACATGATTGCCGAATGTAAGTTTACATTAAAATTAATTTCAATGGAATAAACCATGGCGTAATTGAAAATATCTTTTCTACAATAGTTATGGTATTTTTCACAACTTTATTATTTTTACTTTTGTTATGTTTCTTAAACATTTAAGTACCGTGGAAAAATGAGGCACCGGTATGAATGTTGGTATATTTTATTCATACATGACACGAATAACCAACAACCCATATAAAAAACTAAGCTGCTTGTACTTATAGTAAATGATTCAGTTACAGTATAACATTATTTTCAACAAGACAGATGCCATCTTGTACATTGAAGAAAAGAAATTGCCAAATTACTTCCCATTTTAAGTGTTTTCATTTACCTACTGGGGGGACATCCGCGTACCGAATTGATCAATAGATTACTTTTCGACATCTGTCGAACTCCTATTCCCTCTGTTAGTATTCTGTTTTGTAAAATTAAATCGTCTAACGTATGAATAATTGTAAGGACACATCAAGTTAAAATTTTAGACAGTTGTCGTAACCTATATATATTTTTATGAGTAATTCATTCAACTCTTGTACGTAATGAAAAGCCAAGTGACGTGCCAGTGATTTTATAGGTTGCTTTAATCATTTTAGATTGTGTATGTTTTTATTTATCTCGTGCGCACGAGACACTTTGTCGTGGCCATGAGTTACTAAGTCGTGCGCACGAGATAATTAAGTGGTGCCCTTGAGATACTATGTCGTGCACACGAGTTACTATGTGGTACGAACGTGTTATTTACGTCGTGCGCACGAGATAATTTACAAATCAGATTACACTATATATATGATTTTTTTTTAAACTTAGAAAATTCCTGGTTACACTACTCAATGTACATGTATTCACTTTTAACTTGATACATGTCTTCAGGATCATATTAGGACGTCACTATCCAAGGCTCATAGATCAGACATTAAGTGTTACTAAGTTATGCCCCTTTGCGGGGACCATCCTGTGATAGGATATATATAATATGATTGGTTAATTTTCTAGTGCGCACGATTTAATAATCTCGTTCACACCACATAGTAACTTGTGCCCACGACTAAGTAACTCGTGGCCATGACATAGTATCTCGTGCGCACTACTTAATTATGATCTTGTTCGCACTAGTTAGCAACTCGCGGTAACGACACAGTATCCCGAACGCACAACTTAGAAACTAGTTGCCACGACTTAGTAATAACATAGTATCTCGTGCGCATCACTTAATTATCTCGTGCGCACGACTTTGCTAAGCGTGGCCACGACATAATATATCGTGCGCACAATTTAACTATTTCCTGCGCACGACTTAGTATCTCGTGGTCACGACATAGTATATCGTGCGCACGAGATAAATAAAAAAGCACAAATGTCACCTCTATTCTGTCCTTCTTTTTTCCTTTATCATTTATTCTTTTGATATGCGCCCATTTCAGCATCACTTTCAGCATCAAAGGACGCAAACATTATTATTTTACAATATTAGAAAAATCGCGAGATCCAGATAAACACCAGTGTCATGTTTGTCGTAAATCAGGTGTGCAAGTTATGGTTTGTTTGAAGGGAGAGAACTTATAATATATCAAGTTTGATAAAATATTTATGATAACCTCCCTGTAATTTGTTGCGTTCGATAAGAATAAGTAGAGCTATTGCAGTCACCCGAGCGTCGGCGTCGGCGTCGGCGTCGGCGTAACCACCTATGTTAAAGTTTTTGTAATAGTTCAAATATTTTCAAAGTCCATTGACATATGGCTTTGAAACTTTGCACACTTGTTCACCATCATGACCCTAACCTGTAGACAGGAGGAGGTAACTCTATCAAGCATTTTGACAGAATTATGCCCCTTTTTCGACTTAGAATTTACGTTAAAGTTTTTGTAATAGTTCAAATATTTTCAAAGTCCATTGACATATGGCTTTGAAACTTTGCACATGTGTTCACCATCATGACCCCAACCTGTAGACAGGAGGAGGTAACTCTATCAAGCATTTTGACAGAATTATGCCCCTTTTTCGACTTAGAATTTACGTTAAAGTTTTTGTAATAGTTCAAATATTTTCAAAGTCCATTGACATATGGCTTTGAAACTTTGCACACTTGTTCACCATCATGACCCCAACCTGTAGACAGGAGGAGGTAACTCTATCAAGTATTTTGACAGAATTATGCCCCTTTTTCGACTTAGAATTTACGTTAAAGTTTTTGTAATAGTTCAAATATTTTCAAAGTCCATTGACATATGGCTTTGAAACTTTGCACACTTGTTCACCATCATGACCCCAACCTGTAGACAGGAGGAGGTAACTGTATCAAGCATTTTGACAGAATTATGCCCCTTTTTCGACTTAGAATTTACGTTAAAGTTTTTGTAATAGTTCAAATATTTTCAAAGTCCATTGACATATGGCTTTGAAACTTTGCACACTTGTTCAACATCATGACCCCAACCTGTAGACAGCAGGAGGTAACTCTATTAAGCATTTTGACAGAATTATGCCCCTTTTTCGACTTAGAATTTACGTTAAAGTTTTTGTAATAGTTCAAATATTTTCAAAGTCCATTGACATATGGCTTTGAAACTTTGCACGCTTGTTCAACATCATGACCCCAACCTGTAAACAGGAGGAGGTAACTCTATCAAGCATTTTGACAGAATTATGCCCCTTTTTACGACTTAGAATTTACGTTAAAGTTTTTGTAATAGTTCAAATATTTTCAAAGTCCATTGACATATGGCTTTGAAACTTTGCACACTTGTTCACCATCATGACCCCAACCTGTAAACAGGAGGAGGTAACTGTACCAGGCATTTTTTTTACTATCAAGCACTAAGAATAGTCGAGCATGCTGTCCTACCGACAGCTCTTGTTTGATATATATTTACTATTCTATCCCGTCTTGTATGAACGTCACTTTTGATAAAGAAAGAAGACAGGACGAAATGTAATGTAAAGACTATAGAAAACTGCCGATGATCAGACTGATAAGTGTTTGCCCATTGTTTCAGGTTAATGCAAAAGTTGCTAATGATTTATACGATCTTACAGATTCAAACTCTAGTAGATAGGCGTCATTTTTTTGCACAGTGTCGATTCGGGTTGACTAGAAGGGATATACTTTATGATCTCCTTGCCTGTATTATCAGTAACCTATCAAAAGAGGTAAAATATTTCTAATTGTGCATGAGTTTAAATAATTTAAAATACTCTAACAAGTCAATATCTTAATTTCTGAGTAATTCTTTTAAGTACATATAGTAATTGAATGTACCCACCGCGAATGTACAAACAACATGCAAACAACATGCAGTTTTTACAATTCGTTGCCTGGGAGATGGTATTGATTCCCCTAACTTGCGCTTAATGTTCGTTGATAATGAATGATGTGATGCCAAAATATATTTGCATGCCTTGAGGCGTTCAATGGTCTGTTTTAACTTTAAACTCTTTGAACGCAGATGGCGATAGCAGCTTGTCCATGTTGTTAGTTATGTACTCACCAATTTGTACATCTGTGGAGTCTGACTATACTTCATGCTGCATACAGGCTGTTCACTATTACTATTTGATACCGACATTGTTCTATTATCAGACGACTTTTCCATACTGAAAACAGTGCAAGTCCATTTGCATAAATTAGGTTGGCTCTTTGCACTTTTAGTGATTTGATATTGTAATTCTTTAAAGAAAAAACTTCAAGTTTATAACTGGACCAAGGTCATCTTACGTTTCAAGGATTCTTAAAAAAGATTACGTCAAACATGTCTTTTTTACAATGAGATTCGTCATTCTTCTATCGTATCCATCATTTATCTACTCAGGTTTCCGTTCGTGCCTGAAATAATGCACGAAAGGGCATCGAGGTCTTCCTCCACCAGTATAGCCGGAACGTCGTCACATGACCTATAATGCGTCGGTGTGACGTAAATCCCGATTAAACAAACAGACAAACAATCATTTATCTAAATTCAAGCAACTTCTAAAAACAACAACAGTAAGCCATGCATAATTTCACTTGTCATTTTATTATCTTTTATATTTTTATAATCATAAAATAATCAAAATCTTGCTGTATACAAAAACATAATATATATATAACAGTTTTAATATATAAAGATTGCAAATCTAGTATTGCATCATGATCTCTCTATATCAAAGAAATTAATTATATAATATAATATAATACATATAATCAAACCAATTTAATCAAACACTTAATATTAAATTTGATAAATTAAAATGTTAAGTACAGACTTGCAAAATGAAAAGTATCAAGTATTTACAAAAAAAAAACATTAAAGAATTGAAAGAAAAAAACACGAGTAAAACAAAGTTACCTGATGATAATGTGCAAGAAGAAAATCTCAAAATATTAATATCATTTTAGTAAACATTGACACGATATGTATGCCTGTTTCCTTTACTGTTGAAAAACGGTTAAAGGTTATATATAAAGTTAGAAAGTAATATAATAATTCGAGACATAACATTTGTTTGATTCTAAATGCAACGAAATAGTAAATGTTAGGTATTTGAAACGAAGATTAGGACAGGTTTTATAGTAGCAAATAATTATGTTAATAAATATTAAATAATACATAATACAAATTGGCAATATGAAGGCACAAGAAAACAAACAAAGGATATGTAAATGCGCTTTTATATTACAATGTTTCATTTTGATATTTGTAAATATCACAGTCAGTTTTGACACTAAAGCTTCACTTTTAAAGTTCTCCACATAACTGTCGCATGTCCATTTTGTACGACATCATGAATACTGCTTAAATTCTATAAATGGTTTTAAGTACACAGGAATAAATAACCTTCATCTATTTCTCCATATGTGTAATCTGAGAACGTTGCCCTAACAACGTAGTCGTGTATTAGTCACGACTTATTGACGTTTTCAGAGTCGATATAAAACAGATGGTTTTCTTTTTTGATTGCCGACACTGGAACAACCACGTGACCTGGACAGACATGATGTTACATGTTAAGAGATGATTCACTTTCACTAAGTCCAAATTAAAGTGTTCATTTGTTTCAAAATAGATCTCAGTAATTATTGATATCACAGTCAATGTCACATGGTAGCTCCCACTTAATGTTGTTATCATATTCAATGTCACATGGATGCTCTCACTCAATGTTGATATCATATAAATTGTATCACATGTTTGTTCTAAATTAATGTTGATATCATAGTCTGCGTCACATGGTAGCTCCCACTCAATGTTGATACTGACATCTGTGTCACATGCATATGTGTGCTCTCACTAAATGTTGATATCATGTCACATAGAAGACTTTATTAAAGATTGATATCATAGTCTGAAAAATAAAATAGGCATAGAAATATATAAAAATTATTAATGAGGTCATGGATCTACATTTACTCATCTTTCATTTTACATCAACAACTTGCAAATACAACAACATACAAATATATCAAAATGAATTTGAAAACTTATACATGCAAAAACTACTTACTAGTATTCAACTATATCACGGAACTATGTAAGAAAACGTAAACGATTAAAAAGGTTACATTTTTTGTGCCATGTTAGTTTGAGGAGTCCAACCAGAATCTTTCTGTTGACTGCCGGATTTGGAAATTTGAAAACAAAATTCCTTAAGTCATACATGTACTGTAACAGCGAAAGTACATAATATTATTTCGTTAACAGAAAGGCAAAGTTTGAAGCGAAAAGATCTGAAAAGATACGTACCTTTGACCAGTGTTGGTGTAATACTGCCACTTTCAATAAAGTCAGTTGCTTCACCATCAGAATAACCATCTAGAAACTCAAACGCTTGCTCTGTTATAACATTACCTGTAACAGAAATAGCAGTTATTTACTAATATGTACATATAATGATACACGGGAAAGCATATGGTGTCACTAAAGAAAGCATACAATAAGAAAGCGTAAAATATATCTATATTCAAAACAAATCATTCGGGAAAGAATGATTTTAAAAATGGAAAAACTATGACGTATTGAACTATTTAGATAATTGTAGAAATAGGCTACAATTATTTCAAAACGTATTTTCATTGACTAGTTTAATGGCTATGACTTTGTATTTGCAAATTGAAATATGTTAATGAGCAAAGAATCATGTCATTTTTCTCACCGTCTTGGTCCGTGACATTTGACCCTCTTCTAGACCTCCGTTTGGCACTTGTCGGGCGACTAGCCCTCGAATGATTCCCCGTGGAGGTTGCAACCGGACCTTCTGTTAGATCGAGAGGTGGAACTTTCCTATCTTGAAGCTTTTCCAGTTTCTTTGCAACCTCTGCATGAAAAGCTTCTTTAGACGGCGGGTTTGGAATTTCGTTTGATTTACTTGAATTATCCGTAAACGTTTGTCTATTTATGTAAGTAGCCTTTGGTGTTTCTGTCATTGCAGCCATTTTAGCAACAATAGAACTTTCATACTTAGATGAAGGTTTACCCTCATAGCTATATGGTCGCACGTTTAAATCATTAGTATATCCATTATCACCTACAAATCCACGATTATCACTGTATTCATTTTGGCGAATAATTTCCTTATCCATTCTTCGCTCTGCTGCCAACTCTGCCTCTCTATTGCGTTCTCTTTCCCGCTCTAAAGCTCTTAGTTTAGCACTATCAGTGGCAGATTCAGAAATCTCCGGATCAGAGAAATCCATAGACTTCGACTGAATGTCTTGTTTGTGAGGTTTTGGTTGAGGCGGGGGAGGAGCAGGCTTTTTCTGCCTATGTATATCTGCCACAATAGTTTTTTCACTAGCAATCCCTCGCTCATTGCTCTGATTTCTACGTGGTCTTTGTTCATACCTGTCATTGCTGCTTCTATCTTCACTGTCATATGACTTAGTGGATTTTTCCTTTTCAAAAGGCGTTTCTTTGCGTTGTTTCCTATTTTTAGGTCTGCGCGTTGAATGAAGTGTGACGTCACTTTGAGAACGCCGTACCTTCTTACCGGTGCGTCTCACTTCACGTTCTCTATATCTATCGAGATAATATTCTTCGTGTTCAGGATGACTCACTAACATGGCACGAGAGTTGTTTATATCTAAAATAAAAAAATAATAAATTAAGCGCCTTTTAATCTTAAAATCATACTTTAAGCATGATTAAGTTTAAACCATTTGGCGGACGATAATCCACTTACATTTTCAATGCAATACCAGTACTCTGTGAACTATTGAGAGGTTTAAATTTAATGGTAAAGAAAACTTGCTCATTCTATAAGACTAATATGAATATACCAAAGCTATGAAAGCTAATAGATCGTAAATAGTACGAAATATCATTGATTTTACCTCGGGCCAAGATCCTTACACGTGCTGTCTTTCAAACAGGCATTGTGCTTGCATGTGTACCGGGGTTAAGATTTGAATTACTATGACTTTGATTTGCATGGATTAGTTGAGCTAAGCATAAATTAAATCAGATTGAAATCTTGGCAAAAAAGGTTAATAAAACCAGCAAATTTCAGCTTCCTTAAAATAATTTAACCCAAATAAAATGAGAAAAGGATGTCTGCGTTATTGTACATGTACATGATAACGTAAAACAAATATACTGATATCAAAATAATAAAGGAAATAAATGCAAACTGATAAGAAATGACAAATGATGATAGTGGTTTACTTAATATAATTATCAGATAACACTGTGCATGTACAAAACAAACGTAGGCGGCGTTAGCTAATGAAATATTTATACATGTAAATACTAGTAAACAAGGAGATTGCCTGGGCATGAACAACCTAACCCGTGCCCAACAATTCTACAAGTTGTTTAATCTCGGTCTATGTAAACATATCATTACTCTAATGATCCTTTCTTATTAAATTTCAATTTAATGAAACAATCGTACACAACTAGGCAACAAGCGTATTATAACACCCTTATCACCCATCTTTGTGGGCATTGAAGAGATAGCGCCGTCCGTTATTGTTCATATAAATCTACTTTCCACTGACATGGCTTGACAACATACCGGAACGGTCAGGTATTGAAACTAAGTTTGAGCAATCATTAATAATGTTTGCACGCGATTTAACACGTTGTTAGAATAATAAAATGATACTAGAGTCTAGTTTTACTATAAACTCTATACAGATATAGATATTGTCATTTATATTGAAGTAAAGACGCCGGTATTGAAAAGTATTATGGCTGTTTCATTCAACGCGCAAGTTATCAATAATGAAGGTTCTGTAATTTTAAACGATTTGATTAATGCTATTTTAAGTAAACGTTATGATAGGTAAAATGAAGATTTCTATTATGCTTTTATAATGCATAATCTCAAATTGAATAAGGTTGAAATTCTCATAATTGTTTACAAAATTTTAGATTAAACGCCTGTTTGAAAGCTTTATTTGTCGATGGACAAAGAATCGTGACATTTTCAATGAAATTGTTTGTATACAAGAGAGTAATCAATTGACAAAATGAAAAGGCACATATTTATCAAATATAATACTCGATTCGACTGTGCAGTGCATGGGTCTTTCTTTTCTTTACAGTGTTTAGTTAACAAATCCCAAACAGACGCCGTCGCCCCGTCATCAAATGAGCCGCGTCACGACAAAACCAACATAGCGCGTTTGCGACTAGCATGAATCCAGACCAGCCCTGCGCATCCGCGCAGTCTGATCAGGATCCATATTGTTCGCTGTCAGTTTCTCTACTTGTAATAGGGTTGGTAAGTGAACAGCACGGATCCTGATCAGACTGCGCGGATGCGCAGGCTGGTCTGGATCCATGCTGGTCGCAAACGCACTATGTTGGTTTTGTCGTGACGCGGCTCTAATTGCAAAACAGCTATAATTTATGTTATTAACATGATTGTTTGGAACCACATTTTTGTTATCTTTGATACCATGTCAAACTAGATAAAATGATATAGTTTTGTTCTTTGTCACACCGACACTGTCTATGTCATATTTACTTTAAAGCTTAAGTGACGAAGGAAGACCTCATATGCACCTTCTTCCAATATTTCAGGCACGAATAGGCAACTGAGTGAAACCATCGACCTCCACTAAGCTATCTAGATAGCTTCCTCATATGAATGTGAAGTCTTTGACGAGATTCGAATCCATAGTGACAAAGGGCAAGTAATTTAATTCAGCGTTCTTAATATCAAGCGCCTCAGGCAAGATAAGTTATTTAACATGATATACCTCTGTATGGGTCATAGTTGTATGGATAGGAATATAGATCCATGTAGCTGCCACTTCGAGGTAGACGGTAATCCGGTTCATAGACAGGTGGAACTACTTGCTGACTATGATATATTCGTCCGCCAAGGTTGCCACCCTGGTACACCATGTGCCCTGGTGGTCCTGTAAGAGCAAAGAAAACGTTGTACGTTTACACTCAAATATCTCAAAAAAGTACAAGAAATTATAATGAGCCTCAATTTAGTAGGTAGTTGGTATTTATATAATTATCAATTTACATGTCATGCTTCCATTTTCTTTCATTATTGAACGTTGCGTTATCATGAAACTTGATGCACATTTAAGTATCAAACCTTATGGAAGAATAGGTTAATTTATTTAACTTACAAATAAGTTTGAATTACCTTGTAAACCCGGATGTTCCTGTGGAGTAGATGCACTTCCTTTCCTTTTCATTTCCTTATATACCTGTGACGGCGCACCGCTATACAGTGACGGGTTACCGAACCACAGGTTATTGCTGCCAACCTTTGGAAGACGGGGATCTAACCGTGGATCCAGTCTGGGATCCAATCTTGGGTCAGTAAAATTACGTTGATCACCATGCTGACCACTGTTTTTACTAAGGCTTGTGTCCGGTGTAAGATGATGATGACGAAATGGTTTTTGAGTAGATTTCCGTGATTCTCGGTCTCGTTTTCTGAAATACATATGTATGTCATTTAAGAATTGGTTGGTTAGGCAGTTAATATAAAATAAACGTTAGGGCATTAATTGGTTTGTTGAAGTATATTTACGTCAATTTCCCGGCGTTTAACTCATACCGACGTTAGTGCAAGCGTTGATTTTTAATTTATATATCAAATGTGTATATTTCCTTTTTTCATCGTAGAAACATGCGAATAATTTTACTTTTGCAAAGCAACAAATGAGTTTTTGCAAATCATATGTTGAAATAGTGCCAAGTGTTACCATTCACACCATTTTCAAACCGTAAGAAAATTATTCAAAATACTATTATCATGTTGAAATTATTAAATCCCCCATGACGTAGGCTCTTATTCATTAATATGCAAGCAATACAAATAAGTACGCAAGTTGTACAACTAAATGAATCGTGGGAGAGAAGTGAAATGAGGTGTTTTTTATTACAAATAAAACATTAAATCACTAAATAAATATCTTATTTCCATTTAAATTGTAACCCGGCCTTTGATTCTCCGTCAATTAAACACAAAAACAAATCGATGATTTCTAATTTATTTCATTAAAACAGTAACAATGTCAATGCCAGGACGCTTTTGAAAATGTTGTTTTATATTTCATCTACTATAAAACATGGTCACTAATATAGGACATGCCTGTCATAATAACAAAATAGAAATATCATATGTAAAGCTTCATTGGTTGCTTTGTTTTTGTCATTGTTTTTATTGTTGTGTTGTTATTTTGTTCTTGTTTTTTGTGGTTTTTACAGAATTGTAAATGTTGCAACATCTGTTGGCAACACAAATGTAGTACAACTGATGTTAGGATTTATTGTAACAAAATGAGACAGATGTAGTATCACATATTGTTCATGTTAATGTATATCAGGTGTAGATGTCAACGTTTTTTGCATTGTTTTCTAACTTTTCAGTATACAGTCGCCAATCTAGAAGAACGCACCCACGTATATAGGTATTGAGATAGACTCGTACTGTTTTATAAAACGCAATGAGCGTCATGAAATTGAAAAATAATATTTGCGAAAACGGTGAAAACACAACAAATGATACATCTTCAATCGTTTCACGTTTATTGATTTTAAGTGTAAAATCATTTACAGGTCTCCTCATATGATATGCATGTCTTTTAAGTTTTTGTCCCACGTTCTTTTCAACGTCGACCATAATAAAGCACCGCGGTTAAAAATATTTAAATAAATTAAAAGAATCAGACCTACAGATCTAGATGGGCGTAGGAAAAACGAAGAAGGCAGATATACTCTGTTTGTCTAAGGTTTAAAAGAATGTCAGTAACCCGATTAAGGTTTTGCAATGTCTGACAATTTTAAGTGAATATCTATGATAGTTTTTGAGCAATTAATCTGAACAAAAATATTGACAGGGAAAATCAAATCTATGTCAAAAAGGAGCTAACTCATTTTTTGTAAAGTTGTTTTACAATGAGAAAAAAGGTTGGAGAACAATTGTGAGAACTTATTACAGCCACAGCGGGCTTGACCCAGTCGACTTTAAACCCTATCGACCGGTCTATAACGCACACACCAGCTATCTAAATATAAGCTATCAGTCAATTACTGAACGTACTATAAGAAATCGTGTGATACAGGGACAGGAAGGTCGGGAGGACAAACCGGCAACTTAATCCTCCATCGAAGTTTACGTTTCTGACTGACTATAGATTATTGTTGCTTTTCATAGTGCCTAAAGTTGCGTCACCCCCATTGGTAATAGAAGATATGAAGATATATACGAAGAGAATGGACTTACCTTAGACAGCAGTAGATGAGTACAGCTAGGACGGACAGAAGAACAATCAGGCCGGCTATAGATCCAGCTATCACCGCAATAGTCTCTTCTTTAGATAGAGACATTGTCTTATTCAGTCAAACTGAAAGTAAATAAAAACAAATGATGAAAATACCGTACAATATCACACACGTGGTTCCCTCATCAATAATATATCTATTGATTGATTGGGATAAACAACATTAACTCTACATGCAGCTGTTTGTACTTAAGCATCTGATCAACTACTTGACGATAAATTAATCTATTTTCTATACAAAAACATCTATCTTCCATCAAACCGAAACCCGAACTTTACTGAAACTTAATGAAAATAACATAACTTAGATATGTTCTACTAATTTTTTCTCTAAAATCCGTTGCCTGAAATATTCTACGTTTATCTATCTATACGAGTGTTCATAAAAACTAATAAAAACGGCTTTTAAGAAGTATAACATCAATAAAATATCAACTCTATTCTATTCAATAATGTCAGTGACATTTTTTTATTACTTTCGACCCAGTTTGACAAAGGCATGACCAAACAATAAACACATTGATGATATGAGATTTATCACTTTTACAGTGAGAAATTCTTTATCAAACGGCAACATTCTTCAAATATAAACTGATTTATTGATACCATTTTATTAGTTTCGATCGGTACTTCGGAGTACTTTTGTGTGAGTTATGGTATACAAAGGATAAACTGCGTAAAAGAGATCATCATAGACAAGTGGACATTTTTGTAGAAAAACAAATAACCTAAACACAGTTATAAAATATTGATCTGATATAAGATGTATGTTGTATTATTTAAAGGCCCATTAAGCCCCAGAAATGCTATCAGTTTTATTTGTCAAAAGCTTCTTATTTTCAGTGTCCTATTAAAGTTTCCAAAACGTTACTCATTTGCCATATATAGCCGAGACATCTTGTACTTCTTTTGCGTTTTAGCAATGAATATAGTTATATTGATTTAGTATTTTGTATGGAAGTTTAGGATACTATTTTGTTTACATTTTGCTACTTTTATAACAAAACATTTCACTTTCAGCACTACTTTCCTCAGGTGATAAACATTTAACATTCTCTAAATCAAATACTTAAATGTTAAAGACCTCATTTTTGCCCTTTCTAGAGAAGGAAAAAATATTCATTTCTGAGGCATAACGGGCCTTTAATCTATTCTATTACATATATTAACATATCGTTCAACAACAAAAAATGCACATAAAGTTACAAGTCCCACCATGAAATTGCAAATGTCTTACTTGTTTAAATTCCATTTTTACAAAATGCAGTATTAAACCTGAATCTATGGATAGTGTTTTCTGCCTAAATGCCGTTAAATACAATGTAGTTTAAATTTTGCCCGAACAATATATTTTATGTATTATTATAACCACAGACAGTGTTAAATAACAGAACATAAAAATAAGCAGATTTACCTCTGTAAACTAATGTCCCGTGTTTTACTTGAATTAAGTACGTAAGAACCCAATGTAATTGACTAGTCAAAACTATTTCTGACATGTTCAAAACCCCAATATTGTAATTTGGAAACGCTATCCCACAATTTTCGGAAATATGATAGGTCTCTATTTTTTTACAGTGAAAAGAGAAAAAAATAGTCCCCACTCCCAAATTTATCACAATAGAAAAATCACACAATAAACGAAAATTGTAAATGTGATACACGTTTTACAATTCAATTTAGCACGTTTACAACCACTGAAAAATGTTAATGTAACGGTGACATAACGATATTCGGGATGTGGTTAGTATGGAAGATATTTGAACAATTTTACCGATTTAATTTGAGAAAATTGAATTATTTAACCCTGACACATATGTTGCCTGTTTGTAAATCAGTTTCTAAGTTTTTATCACTATACATGAATTAAATTTCAGTATCACGTTTTGGGGGGGGGGGGGGCAGGATCCGACCCCTAAGCGTCTATTGGATGCATAGTGACATGACAAAACCGTTAACGAAAAGATATTGTATGTTTAGATAGAAAAATGTGAAGCACGATACACGATAATTTATTAATATGAAACATAGCTAGACACGACGGTATACGATAAGATATATTGTACGGTTTGTCAATAATATATTGAAAGTAATAATACGACACGACAAAACGATGATTGGAAGCATGATGACACGACACGACGATATACGATAAAATATCATATGTTTTAATGATATGATATGAAGCATAATGAAAATGACAAGAAGGCATACGATAAGTTATAACATGTATCTGGTTTGGCGATACGATATGATGCACCGTGATACGACACGGTATGGCGATATTTAATGCATAAGGATCTTACACCGGCTACCGGTACAGACCGGATTATCTAAGTCGAGGGTTATTGTTTACGGTGGTAACGAGGCTCTACCGAGTTTCGCTAAACTGTTACCCGAGAGCTAAATATTCATATCTGTGACGATAGCCGGTGTTTGATTTTTTTTCTTGCATATTACAAATTAATGATATAATGTACTACAAAATATCATACATTATGCGATAATAAGATTTAAAACTTAACATGTTCTGTAACGATAGAACTTTAAGTTAAATTTCAAAACAGCTAGACTTTAATGTATTCAAATAAAATCTAAAAAACACAACAAATTAATATGAATAATGATAAAATGATTATGTACGTGTGCTTTATATAACAGACAGAAAAAAGGGGGATAATAGATCTACATATGAGAACCAAAAACAACTAGTTAAAACTTATTTTCTTACGTTATATTGAAATCATCAGATGATATTCACTAACAAAAGTTATTGGTTATATAACACATACAGATGGGGCAATACTAATACATTGAACGATACAGAAAGTGCACGACCAGTTGATCTAAGGCGTAGGCCACAACTAATGTTTATTGTATGAGAAATATGAACAATGTTGATACAACATTTTACTCGTAATTCCAATATTTGACCTGTCGCCATTCGAGGTAAAATTTTTAATCGTTTGTTATGTACATCATTAGAAATACAGTATGCTAATTAATGCAGTAAAAAGTGACTAAGATCATATGATTTTCATGTACTTTAAAACTGGTTATTTTCATTCTTATGTAGGTTAGAAAAGAGCGTTTTTTTGTTTCGGAGTAAATAGAATATTAAATTATTAATTGCAGCGCACGCCATTATTTATTGTTAATGGCAATTAAAAGCGTTATGTGTAGCCTTTGGCATAAGAAATGTCAGACTATTTAAATGACTCTAATCATCATTTTTTGTGCAAGAATTTCACGATGCATCTAAAATAAAAAAAATTGTGTCAGAGTTAAACACGGACGGGTTGTCAAAAGAGGCTTTAAGCGAAACGTGCTCTTTCTTACAGATAATATCAAACTTACAACCTGTCACGGAATGCATGTCAACCCTCTTAATTGATTGAGCAAAACATTAATTAAAGTCTAAATACACACTGTGTATTTTATCATGCCTATGTTTTTTACGCTAATTATACGGTAATCAAAATTAAGTTTGTGTCAGAGTTATCTGTTCTTGTATTTTGGATTAAATTTTCCAAAAAAACGGCACCGTCCGGTTCGCTCAAAAGGTAGAGCGTTGGCTTGTCAATCGGGCGACCCGGGTTCGATTACTGGACCGTGCATGTCACTTTCGTTGTGATTGATCATGAAAGCTTTTCTACAGTCATTCGCACTGTACCCCTGCTCCTCTTTGTACAGAAGTTTCAGTTCTTTAGTTATGACACTCGGTGAAAATGTAAGAAACAGATCTGAGATAAGTATACCTGATGAAGACTTTTGAGTCGAAACATTACATATTTTTCAAATAAAATAATTACATTTTTAAATTGAAACTGGATTGATTTCTATATTCAAACTGACAATAAAATATCACCACACTTAACAGATAATTATATTACGAAACCGATATGTTGATTGATAATGGGTGGTAAGTCAACAACCGGTTAGTTCTTCGAGGAGAACTTGAAAGAGGTTCCGATAAGTTTTAATCTGCATTACAATCAAACTTTTATAGATATGTTTAAACCATATATCCCGCTATTAAAATAGATCAGCCAGGAATGTGATATCATACTCCGGAGATTAATAACCAGTAATGGTGGTGTTGGATCACTCATGTTGGTTGACTCCGGATCACGACAGTTAGCCTCATTGAATTCACCAGAGCACAGTTCAACCACCGCCTCGTTACTGGGCAGGCTGTCCAGCAATTTATCAATACTAGTTGCCTTCACTTTCGCAAGGAACTGAAACTTCTGTACATGCCAGAGCAGAGGTACAGTGCGACCGTAATGATCAATCACAACGAAAGTGACCTGCGCCGTCCGGGAATCGAACCCGGGTCGCCCGATTCACAGTCCAACGCTCTACCTATTGAGCTAACCGGACGGCTATTAACCAGTAATGTTCTTGTGATATGCTTATATACAATGTATGCACCTACATGTATATAAAAACTGAAAGCATTACTTTTTCAATATACAACCTATACCCCAGCAAAATGTTAAAACTAATGAGAAGGGACGTGAATGATGTCAGCCAACAATATAACTATCATGACACCAACATGACTTTTACGATGACGCTCATGCAATTAAGCGCCATATTGACGCCTGGTCACTCCCGCGTGAACGCCCAATTAACGACCAATATGCATTTCAACTTGACCTACATGCATATTAATATATGCACGACCAGGTTAATGTTAGACAAGACAACTTATGTTTTGTACTCAATTCGCACTAACAGGTCTGTTTATTACATAATTATTGTCCCGATAAATCATATTTTTATTAAATAATTGATTAAATATTGATATAAGTGTCTTTTTAATTCATATACGCATTCTTTGCGTTTTCGCTATGTAACGAAGGCATGAGAAAATCAGTTGTGACTAATAACTAAATAACTGTTTTAATGCGATTTTGGAAACTAGTTTCCGGATCATTAAGATATATTTTTAATGTGAGATATCGTTCGATCTTAAAATTATCGCATGAAACCTTTCGTGTGAAAATGTCCTCTTTTCAAAAAATCAAGAAATACATCGAAAATTAACACTACAATGCCTTATACACAGCAAATTCTTTAAGCACAAACAT